TTAGGACTTAGGGATTTGGGGGGGGGGGGGACTCAGCCCCTAGTTAGGGCTCTTGGGGGACTTAGAACGTAGTTAAGGTTTTTTTTTTGGGGGGGGGGGAACTTTGGACGTAGTTAGGGCTTAGTTATGACAGGGAGGACTCAGGACGTAGGTAGAACTTATCGAGAGCTTTAGACTGAGGATTTTCTTAGGGAGCACCAAGGACGTATTTAGAGCTTAAGTATAACTTAGGACGTACTTAGTTGGGGCTTCGGCAGTACTTAGGACATAGGGCTTAGGGAGGACCAAATACATAGGGCTTAGGGAGGACCAAATACATAGTTGGGGCTTAGGGAATACTTAAGACAGGGCTTAGTAAAACAAAAGATGTATGGCTGTGCCAAGACTCAAGACTCTCCCAGACCACATTAGTTAAAGACTGAGTATGTGATTTTGGATAAGTTATGGGATATAGGACTTAAGACTAAGGACAAAAGTAGGACATAGGACAAGGCCTACGACTTGTGAAACGACTTTTAAAATGTTGCAGAAAATGACAGAGGATAGGACAGATTTTAATCTTTTTTAAGCATCTGATAAATCTTTGTTTTATTTACAAGTTACGTAACCCTGTTCAATCTAGTGTAATTTTAAAAGTGCCATAAAATTTTAATTTTAATTGAACGAATTTTTCGCAATTCAAATGTATATCTCTTTTTAGAAACACAATTTTAAAAATCTATCGTTTTGTTGGTTAAACTTTTGATTTAGTTGTAAACAAAAAAAAAACACACAACAATTAAAAGTATTAATATTCATTAAACACACATTACATTAGAATTAGCTTGCCAAACCAACACCAACACAAGCTGTAAAGGTAAAATTCTAATTTTTAAATGTTCTCTAAGCGATATGGTTCATAATTGTTTGTCCACGATAATTTGTTAATTAAGGGGAGGTGAATAGTTTGAGAAACAAACACTAAACATTTTACCGGTTACTTCCCTTGCGTTAAACAAAGCTTATAATGGAACATTTAACTGTATGAAAAAGTTATTAAATCGCATTGTTTTCTTTTTTTTTTAAACCCACATTAGTTTAGCATATTAATAAGGTACACATGACAATGGAATATTTACAACAGTAGGTGATAGATTTTTATTGGGTAGCCCGCTTTAATCGATACCGTTTTCAAAACCAGACGGCTGGCGCCAGGTTATTGAGTGCCCTAGGCAAAACTTATTAAAACGCCCCCCTTTCACACAAATTAATTACTAAAATATATGTATATGAAAATAATTAATTAAAAGTGACATATTAATTTATTATCAATTACGTTAGTGCACGTTATAAGTAGACATCAAAATAAAATTTTACTTGCCTTCGTCGCAAAAGTTTGTACTAATTCCTTCAATTCCAGTTTGCACAAGCGTAATCACATTTTATTCAAATTGTTGCTAAGTCCTCGAGTCTACTTTCTATTTTACGACATAGCACCCCCCCCCCCACCTTTAGGCACATTTGTTGCACTATCTCATACTAAATGTCTACTAATATTAAGTATTGCAATCTACAACGGCTACTGATGTATTTGTTTTTCAACTTGATAATGCTAAAAAACCTACCAAACCTATTTCGTTTAGAACTTCTGATCTATATAATTTTAAAAATAGCAAATAATAACTTAAATTTGTATTATTTATAAGTAAGCTGTTAACCTAAGGTGCAGGAATTTGAAATGAATGTAAAGTTAAGCAGCGAATCATCTCCCATTCGGTAATCCAAATACCAGTTTTATTCAAGGGAAATAACTTTCACAAAAATAGCTAAATTAACCAAGTGTAACCAAGACATGCTTGAAAACAACAATATAACGGTTTAAATTTGATTATATAATAATTATACCAAATCTTTTATATAAATTTTGTGATCGCGTCGAAACAATATATTTTAATAGTTGAATACTTAACTATAGGTTTTGTTTGAAAGTCTAAACATGGCAGCTTTATTATAATATACTTCTAGTCAATTTTGATAACAACATTTTATGGATATTGTAATTGTAAACCAACATAACTAATTTTGGATACCCTATATTAAGGGACACCTTTAAAAAAAAATCAAATACGGGTAACAGTTTAAGATATTGCTATAATTATTTAATAAATATAAAAAAAAATTATAATTTGAAAAAGCAAAGTTTACAGCTCGTTATGAATTTCAGCCTATATAATATTGTATATTAATACTTTACGAGTGGTAATATAGATTCCTAGATTTTTCAGCTAGAGAACGCCTACATCTCTTTGTAGTGTGTTCCGTCCTGAATTGAAATAATCTAACTTAAGATAAACTCGACTACTCGATAGCCTCAAAGTCTACTACATTCACAACAGAAATGAAACTTCGATACCTAAACATTACTAGAACCGATGCCTCCAAAACTACGGACACTGTTAAATTATATATTTTCTATATTTTCTATATAAATTCCATTTCCTTTTTTTTTTGGGGGGGGGGGGGGGGGCTAGATTCTCTTCGAGGGGGGGGGGGGGGGGGGGTACGACGACTCCGCCCTCCCCCGAATAGATGCATGAAAGAAACACTGATTCTCACCGTCGCGAATTATTAGGTACTTTTTAATAACAGCGATTAAACATTTTTGCCCCCCCCCCCCCCCCTAGGAATGGCCTAGTTTGCCTTATAGGTAGCGCCAGCCTTGGAAAGCACATGGTACAGGTGAAGTAGAGTTCACGTGTTTCATTGCCCGTGACAGTATAAAGGGATAGTGTGGTCGGCACTTGCCCTACTTTTCCTAACGTGAGTCAGGTACTGATTAGAGCTGGGTGGACTCGGTAACACCCTACGGTCTCAAGCCCGAGATCCGAACTCGAAACTTCAGAGTTAGCAGCCGTACGTTCGAATCCGGATTTAGTCAGTAGAACGTCCCTGAGTTCACCCAGCTCTGATGAGTACCTAACTCACGTTTGGGAAAACAAAGGCACTTTGGCATTGTGCTGACCAAACTATCCCTTCATATGCCGAGGTCACAGAAACAGATGTACTCTACTTCATCAGCCCCATGTCTTGGCCACGAATGATAAAGATGATGATGATAAGTCAGAGGCGTAGCGACCCCTCCCGGCGCCCGGGGACAAACTTTCGATTTGCGCCCCCCCCCCCCCCCTCGAACTTTTCATTTGTTGCACCCCCCTAAGGTCGGCGCCCGGGGACATATGTCCCCCCCCCCCCTCGCTACGCCTCTGTGATAAGTCGTACGCTCTAAAGTGAAATTTTGTACTTTGTTTTTACAAGCTTTTCGTTATAAATCGAAACGGGCGAGCGAAATTTCGACCACTTCTGACCGTTTCGTTTCAAATTTGGCACATTTGTCAAGACTTGAATACAATGCAATCTGACATTAAATTTCACTAATTGGATGACTAATTATTGCAGGATTTATTGAAGCTTAAGCAAGAAACGTTCGGAAAACTCCGGACATTACCTCCTGATGAACACGAAGAGATACTGAGGTAATACTGCTTTAAAAAAATTATGTTTTGTTGGTAAACTAGCATAAAAACGGAAATAATAAATACGTTAATAGATATACAAGTAGCTTACGATTAGTTATAAGCACGTTAAAAATGTTTAAATAAACTGTGTCACAGAGCTGGGTAAACTCATGGACGTTACACAGACTTTGACCCGGATCCGAACTCTAGACTTTCCTGTCAGCAGCCTAGCGCTCTATCGCTTAGGCCACGCCGACCCAAAATTAAAATTTTTAATTATAAAATTACTTGCTGAATTGATATATAGACTTTGAAAAAAAAATTAAAACCCAAAGATTAAAATACCTATCCCTAAATCAACACTAAACCTTACAATTAGAGTTAAAATCTTATCAATATGGTATTAGCTTTACTTCGATAACGAGGACAGCAACCCATCTCGGAGAAAAAAAACTCCAAAATTTAACAACAGATGCTAACACGGCATCACTGGGCGTATGACCTTCAAGTAAAGATCACCGGCCAGGGCGCAAGAGTTCCTAGATGAACTTCAACGAATACGTTTTCGTGACCACGGCGAACCACCTAGAAGGAGTCGTCCGGCTGTGGTCAGGCATGGAGAAGGGTGGGCGCTGCCATGCGACACTTAGTCCTTGACACACTACTCTGTGGTGCCCCAACGATCCTATCAAGAATTTTGTATGCAATACTTATTGATAAAAAACGATGTAACCAAATCGATTAAACACATATTTCAATGACGTAATCAAATTCTGTGTATTTTTTTCCCAACAAGAATTTTATGCATTACTATTTGATAACACACTATGAACTTGAATCGATAAAACACATATTGCAATGACGTAATCAAATTCTGTGTATTTTGTGTTTCTAGGAGCACGGGCATTGACGTAGACAACAGGAAGAAGACCGCCGTCTGCCACTGTGCGCATGTCGAGAGGTGGATCAAAAACTGGGTCAAGTTTGTCAAAAAGTTGCCAGGTTTTACAGAGATCCCAATGGAGGACCAACTGGCCCTTTTGATTAGTTAGTTGTTCTTTTTTTTTTCTTTTTAACTATTATACAATACATTTTTTTGCCTGTTTAAAGGATTCGTGGTTTGCTTTCTTACGTAGGTTTCAAAGCCTATATCGATTAAATTAGTAGTGCAATTTTATATATAAATTAGAATTATTAACATAAATAATGAATTTAAATCGGTAGACTTTGTTGAACCGGCTGTATTCAAGAGGCCCGGGAAATTATTAAAGGGGCCCCCAACCCCAGATTACAATTCTAATTGTGCATTTCCTCCCATCAAAAACAGGATTATCATCCTTAGCTTGATGGAAATTCGCGAGACACTTTATTTTAAAAAATCATATCATTAATAGCCCTTTTACAGATTCGTTCATGGGGCCCAACCGGGACGTTTTACCAGGGGGGGGGGCCCACCCGGATTTTTCCCGGTTTACCGGTTGGCTAGTCCACCTCTGTCAGTAGATGAATCAATGCAAGCAGAAAAATGTTTCGGATTCTCCATTAAATATAATCCTGTTATATATATATATATATATATATATATATATATATATATATATATATATATATATATATATATATATATATGAATTATGTATTTTCATATAATATGATGATTATATTTATATTTATGTCATTATGATATAATGGTGAACACCATACCTTGTAGGGTTACTTGATTTCTTGATTTACAATGTGTTTTAAGTTTTGACCTCGTGTTGATACTATCTTTAGTTATGCCCTACTTTCCAACCATGACTATTTATCCCTCACACTTGCGTGGTTGATTAGAACCCCTACACATCACATACTATCTGTACATATATCTGTGACATATTTTAACCTAAGTGACTATCACTTCCAGACACGCGAGTTGAGTTCTGGCTACTTGGTGCCTACAGAGGCTACAATACACAACTTGAGACTGCCATAATGCCCAATGGAATCTGTTACCACAAGGAAGAATTGAGAATGGTAAGTTGAACATGAGTATCTCCCTTTTTTTTTCGCAATTTTAATTTTTAAATAATGAATTAGTTTGCAAAGTCATTTAACTGAAATTTTTGGTATGCGATTATAAATCTGTGAAGGCTGGGTTAGTTCTCTAGCTTGGAAATGATCGAATGTTTGTGTCAATTCAGCTTTTTTTGGCACCTGGCATATTTTTTTCATAATGGTAAATTCTTGTTTTTAGCTTTTTAGTTTAAACAAATCTTTTAACCTTCACCATCCTATTCCCTTATGATCATTTCATTTTTTTTCACATCGAAATTACCTTTAAAATAAAAAAAAATCATTTCGTAGATTTCATATGTTGTCTTGACCTCGGAATGTGAAGAGAAGGTGCTGTCAGCACTATGCCCAGCCGCCTTTACTTTCCCTAATATGAATTAGGTACCCATGAGAGCTGGATGGACATCAGGGATGCGCACACATTCAATGTTGCCCTATAGAAGGAAGTTCAGAGTTGATACAAATGTTTACGTTCTCTTTATCGCCTCCCATAAAGCTGACCTTTGCCCCCTGATGTTCATGTTACTCGTTATACTTACCAAACCACCAATTACATCTTACAGATCTACACCGATGAATACATCGAGTTGATCTTCCACTTAGCCGATGTTCTGAAGAAAAGCACCCTATCACCCGAGGAAATTATCTTCGTCAAAGCCATTTGTTTAACATCCACAGGTATTCTTAACCCTAACCCTCATTAAAATTATGTTCTTGAACTTTATTGTCAATTATTTCAAACACTTTGCCGCATAACACGTTGACATATAATACTTAATTGTTTTGGAAGAAATCCCTTCCAGTAATATATTTAAGAACAAAGAATAGCAGCCAACTTTAGAAATCTAGTACTTGTAGGTCTACTTTTTATTAAAGTAGTAAAGATTCCACTTTCGACCTAGCGATCCGTTGTATAGATGAAGTAGATTTCGTATGAAGGGAATGTGAGAATGCCCAGCCGCCTTTACTTTCCCTAACATGAATTAGGTACCCATCAGAGCTGGGTGGACTCAGGGACGCTATATTGACTTTAACCCGGATTCGAACTCGGGACTTTCGGGTTAGCAGCTTAGCATTCTACCACTACGCTACGCCGTCCCATCGAACTCGGTATCAAAGGGATTTTTTTTTCTTTTTCCCATCGTACCCAGTATTAAAGGGAAATAATTTTTCTTTTTTCTAAAGTACCCAGTATTAAAGGGAAATAATCTTTCCTTTGGTCCCATCGTAATCGGCATTAAAGGGACATAATCTTTCCTTTGGTCCCATTGTACTCAGTATTAATGGGAAATAATTTTTATTTCTTCCCCCTTGTACTCAGTATTAAAGGGAAATAATTTTTATTTCTTCCCCCTTGTACTCAGTATTAAAGGGAAATAATTTTTCTATTTTTCGCCATCGTTATCAGTATTAAAGGGAAATAATTTTTTTCCCCATCGTTATCAGTATTAAAGGGAAATAATTTTTTTCCCCATCGTTATCAGTATTAAAGGGAAATAATTTTTCTTTTTTCCCCATCGTACTAATTATTAAAGGGAAATAATCTTTCCTTTGTTCCAGATCGGTTCCCTCTGAAGAGCCGAGAACGGGTGGAGAAAGTCCAAGCCCTGATGATCTCCTGCCTCCAGCACCTCATCAGGCGGAACCACCCACCCCACCGGTGGGCGGTGGTCATGGGGTGCGCCTTCAACATGCTGACCACTGTCCGAGAAATCGGCCACGCCTACATCATGTTCGCCGGGAAGAACGGGATGAGGAAGATCCACATGTACAAGGAGAACGTCATTCGCGAGATCATCAGCGGGGGAGGGGACGGCGGGGTGGCCTCGTTCGGAAATTTGGAAGACTTGTTATGACGTCATCAGTTTATGCGGTGAATTTTTTAAAATTATTATTCACAATGTATAAGCGGTGTTTAGATTTCAAGAAGGACATGAAAAAAACAGTGCAATTTGTTAATGTTTATATATATATATATATATATATATATATATATATATATATATATATATATATATATATATATATATATATATATATATATATATATTGCCCATGACAACCGGTGATTTAAAAAAAAACAACAACCTAGCTGGTTGGTGGTTCTTTGATCACCGTTAAGACAGTATAATATGATAACCAGTTTTTTTTATAAAAGCTGTTCTCAATGTAGAGTTTGATCTGAGGTAAGGTGAGGATTGTTATAGGTTTGAGTTAGTGCCAAGTTTATGAACTAGGCAACAAAATAAGCAAAAAGTAAAGGCAAAACTAATTTATGAGAAAAAAAAAATTATTCTGTGTTCTAACAGTACAGTACAGTGTATAATCGAGGTTTGTTATTGCTAGTATCGATAAAAAAAGTTTAATTTATCTTAGTATCAGAAATCATATAAAATATAAGATTAAGGGTCTTTATTTGATTAGACTTAACTACTTAACCGTATCTATATTGGCTACAATAAAATTGGAAAACAACCCCCATAAAGACGTAAACATACAAAATGTATGTTAAAAAAAAAAAAAAAAAAAAAAAAAACGTTGGTTTAACCCGTGAAGTGCCAAAAAAGCTATTTAAAAGTAAATATATGATGCATTGCAACCTTGTAATCAGAACGAGTGGTTAAAAAATATCTAGTGGTTTTTTAGGGTTTATGTTTAAACATGTGTATATTTTAATTTGGTGTCACCCAGCACCTCTACGTTTTATTGTTTTCACTGGATAAGCATTGTTTCAACAGTTTGTTATATATTTTACTAATTTTTTGTGTCACCCCTCCCCCAAACGACTCATTTCGGTGTTGATAGCACCCCACGCCCCCGTCTTGTGACGCCACTGGACGTATAAACATTCATCATCATCATCATCATCATCATCATCATCTTCATCATCATCATTCCTGTTGACCCCTTGTGGAACAAGGGGACGCAACCACATTTCTCCATCGTACTCAGTTTAGGTCGATTCCTCCAAGTTGTGTCCACGTCATTCTGTCTGCTTCTGCTTCTTCTACAGCTGACTTTTTCCAAGTTTGTTTTGTCGTACATACTTTCCGTTTTCATTTAGAATTCCAATCTAGTGACTTCCTGGTGATATTGCTAGTTGGTGTGTCCATTCCATAAGCATATACGCTTTTGTATTCTTTTGCCCCCTCCCCTCTCAGAAAGTTTAGTATGCCCAGGTTTCAAGTGCCTTCGCGAAAAGAAGGCCGAAAAGAAAACCCACTGAATATATCAATGTGCTTTAGCTTTTATTTACCAGTTAAATAGATTATACAGCAAATTAGCAAACTATAAAATGATGGTAGGTCTATACTGCGATCAAGCGGTAAAGTTCAATACAGCTCTTAGTTCACAGCTGCTGAGACTATTCAGCTCTAATGAGTACCTGTCTTAGTTTGGGGGAAGTGAAAGGCTGCAAGACGTATAGTGTTGGCTACATTATACAGCTGTCCTGTGGATAGTCGGTTTTGAAAGCGTACTTGCATAATTACACTTACATAGTGCCCTTACATACTTCCCTTACACACTTCCCTTACACACTTACCTTACCTAATTCCCTTACATGCTGCCTTTACATACTTCCCTTACATACCTCCCTTACACACTTCCCTTACACACTTCCCTTACACACTTCCATTACACACTTCCCTTACACACTTCCCTTACACACTTCCCTTACATACTTCCCTTACACACTTCCCTTACACACTTCCCTTACACACTTCCCTTACACATTTCCCTTACACACTTCCCTTACATACTGCCCTTACATGCTTACATTACACACTTTCTTTACATACGTTAAAATGCGGTTGGTAATTTGAGACGGCATATTCAGCCCAGTGTCTGTAATATTGTATAAGCATTGTAGACCTTGTTTATATCAGTTTAACCGTCTCATTTAACAGTCTCAGTTTAACCGTCACAGTCAATCATCACAGTTAACTATCCCAGTCAACCATCAAAGTTAACCGTCAAAGTTAACCGATAAAGTTAAACCTACAAAGTTAACCGCCCGTTCTTATTTCTCACAGTGAATGATCGTAGTGTTATAAAACTAATGTACTATTATAAGTTCAGTAAATATTTTTGAGATTTATTTACTTGTGACTTTTACTATTAATTTATGAATGCTTTACAATAAAACAATGTTTTGTTCAAAAAACTAAATTGTTGGGTTTTTTGTTGAGAAGAAAAAGTAATTTTAAAAAATTTGTTTTGTTGGAAAAACTAAATTGTTTGATTTTTTGACGAAGAATAAATGAGTGAATACTATTTGTTATGTTTTGTTTATGGATGTCTTTACAGTATATATTTGTTCCCTCTTAAAAACATTTGATTGTAGATCTAAAAAAAAATCAGCTTGATTAACAATATGTCATAAGAATCTTTAAATATATAATTAAAATTATAATAGATATTTCCAGGAAAATCTTCTTTGTATAGAGGGGATCCTGACAAAAGGCCGACATGGACAAAAGACCGACATGATAAAAGGCCGACAAGACATAAGGCCGACAAACCATAAGGACGACAAACCATAAGGCCGACAAACATAAACATACTTATATTGCAAAATATGTTACTGCATAGCTCCTATCTAGACAACCATCAAAATAAGGCATACAATAAGGTAAAACGTTCAAGAAAAGAGACGATGCTAGTTGCTATCCTTATAAGGTGAACCATTTCATTAGGTCAAGCGACTGGAGATTACGGGAGTGTTTCAAACACAAAAGATAAACACCTAAATATTGCGAAATGCGGCCACTGCTGTCTTTCATAGCTCCTTCTAGATAACTCTAGAATTTTAGTTTTAAAAACTTAGAAGTAAACTCCCTTTAGTAAAGGGAGGCAAGCAGTTGCAAATTCTTTCCTTAACCTTAAATAATGCGTCCAGGTTGATACGCCCTACAGGCCTGAGGCTATATACAGTCTTCAAAATACCCCCCCCCCCCATACACTTCTCCTCGTCCCCTCACTTCCTCCCTGAGGTCTTTAGGTCCACCCTAATCAATTTTATATGACACCGGGATAAGCCACTGTAGGCCTGATGACGTCCCTGCGGTCCCACCAGCATCCATCTTATTTTGTCATATTTTAACGTTGGTACGGGCTTCAAGGGCGACTATTAGTGACAGATAAGGGGAGGCAACACATACATTGCGCTTATAACTTTTATAGTCTCCCTTGCGAAACTATGGTTTATGTTGGGGGAAAAAAACATGCATTTTCTTCTTTTACACTGGTTTTAATTTGTGTATGTTGTTGGGATAAGCTCTTTAAACATGTAAAATTATGTTGTTGTCTATGTTATATGGATATGTTCTAAGAAGTTTTTTTTAATAAAGTCGCGTGATAGTCACGCCGATGTGAGGAGATCACGTGTTTGCACGTGATGTTTAATGAGATCATGTGACAATATTGTTAGCGTCATACGTAGAAAAGTTTTTCTTTAATTATTTTTTTTTAATTAATTTTTTAAAAAGTAATGTCTCTTCTAGAATCTGTTGATCTTTGATCAAATCTTTTAAACACAATGTTAGCACATTTCTATTGCTATCATTTCTTTCATATTTTATTTTTAGTATTTTTTTTAAAGTGAATGCATAACTGCTGATAGGATTTACGTGGGATCTATACGGTGTATATACGGTGTAGATTATACTCGTAAAGGGGGGGGGGGTGGGCGTATGTATGTCAGAAAAGAGCTATTTAGTTAATATTTTGAGCAGTTTTCCCTTATGGATTTTGTATTGAAATTGCAATTATAACCAGGTTAAAAGACGCGATAGAAGACCTAAGATGTGGTCAGCCATCGATATATTTTATTAAAAAACGTGGTTAATTACGTGCACCAAATCGAAATAGCCAGATTATTGTTACTTTGTTTTTAGTCTGTCCTCAACCCCTCCCTCCTCCCCCCCCCCCCTAAAAAAATAACCACGAAGTATTAACCGTTCTAAATGTATACCACCAGTACACTTAAACCTAGATTTCTTTAAATAATATGTAGAGCATACATACAGTAAAGCTTATTAACATATGTACACTTTTGAACATTCTTTAACAAGCGAAGCGCCCACAACTGCGTTTTTAGCAAGACATAAACTCGCTTCTGGAAGGGTTTATTTCAACATTCCATAGTTCTCAAACGTTAACGGAAAGTCCAAAGTTAAAAGTTTCATTAAGTCGACGTGGTCAGGTCGGTAAGGCTCATGATTCCTGAACCAAAAAGTCGAACCCCCGGGCAGATGAGGCTTCATAGGGGACAGCAGCTCTTCTAGGAGAGACAACAAAATCAAACAACTGCTGTCTTGTAGTTTGTTCTTGGTTGGACAAAGGCTATGGAAGCAAATCGGAGTTTATGGCATTTATGTCGCACAAAAAATTGACACGTAATACTTAATTGTGTTGGAAGAAATCCCTTCCAACAAAAGAATTAAGAACGAAAAAGAAGAAGAAAAGTTACAAAATAGTTTTGCTTTTAAGACAAGTCGAACATTACTAATCTTTCAAAATGCGTTAAGTGGCCCATCTTACTTGTGTCCCTCTCTCACTTACCCCAGTTCTACATTGGGTCCGCGTCGTTTTGTGACAGTAAAATCTCTTTCAACGCGAGCCATGCATTTTTTTGTAAACAAACTGGGATTTTATTGCCAAACGATTAAGTTTAAATTATATAAAGCTCACCTTTGAAACCTAACGATAGAATCAGGTACCCATCAGAGATGGGACGACTCAGGAAAGTCCTACAGACTCAAAGCTTTGACCGAGATCCAAACTCAAGACTTACGGGATAGCAGTCGAGCTCAATAGTACCCGACCACATCAAAATAAAAGTAAAGATTCCTCTTTAGACCTAACGATCTATTGAGCAGATGAAGTAGAGTTCAACTGTTTCTTGAACTTGGCATATAAAGGGAAAATGTGGTCAGCACTATGCCCAGC